TGTTGACTGGATAAAAGTTTTATACGATTTATCAGATATTGAGAGTATGGAAAATTACTTTTATGATTTTATCGATGAGGTGGTCAATAAATATGTACCAAAAATTAATTTAAATTTAAAACAAAAGTTTCCGCCTTGGTATACAATGCCGCTTATAAAATTATTCAAAGAAAAAAATAAATTACACAGAAAATGGAAAAAATATTGCAACCAAATCGATTATGAAAATTATTCAAAATCAAGGAATCGTTTTAAAAAAATGTCCGCGTACTGCTTTAATCGATTCATTGAATCATCAGAGTTCAACATAAGATCGAATCCTAAATTATTCTGGTCTTTTGTAAAATCTAAGAAGGCAAATGGCGATTTTCCTGCTAGAATGTTATACAACGACAAAACTTTAACAACTGGAACTGAAATTTGCGATGGTTTCAATCAGTATTTCAATTCAGTATTTGTGTCATCTCACGAAAGTCATTATCCTTCCAAATGTAACGCTCAATCTACGTTAGATATTAATTCAGTCAATATAACTATTGATCGTGTTCAAAAAGAATTAAAACAAGTTAATATACATAAGGGAGCTGGTTCTGATAATATTCACTCCATTCTGGTTCGTAATTGCGCTAAAGAACTCGCTGTTCCTCTCACTATAATTTTTCAAAAATCTTTAGAATTTGGGATTTTCCCCTCTAAGTGGAAAGCGGCTTTAGTGACCCCAATTCCAAAAAACAATCAAAAACATCTAGTAACAGAATATCGACCCATTTCAAAATTATGCATCTTTGGTAAAATTCTTGAAAAAATGGTTACTACAGATTTGGCATTAGCAGCCCGTAATTTTATTTCACCTCAGCAACATGGCTTTTATAAAAATAGAAGCGTAGATAGTAACATGATCACTTTTACTGAATTTCTAGCGCAGGCAATGGATATAAATTTACAGGTGGATGTCGTGTATACAGATTTTTCGAGAGCTTTCGATAAAATAAATCATAATATCCTTATAAGAAAGCTTGTAGAAGCCGGAGTGCATGGTAACCTACTTCGATGGATCGAATCCTACATCAGAAACAGAAGCCAAGCGGTTTGCATCAAAGGGTATCGGTCACAATTTCTTCCAATTCCATCCGGGGTCCCGCAGGGCTCGCATTTGGGTCCACTTTTGTTCTCTTTTTACATTAATGACATTGGCAATACCTTTAATTACAGCCGTCACTTGCTTTATGCAGATGATACAAAATTATATAAAATTGTGACTTGTCGTGACGATTGCCTTAAGTTACAAGAAGATCTGAGTGCGCTGTGTGCCTATAGTCTCAAAAACCAACTTTTCTTAAATATCAATAAGTGTCACGTCATCTCTTACACGCGAAATCAGAATAAAGTTAACTTTGATTATTGTATGAATAACAACATTGTCGAACGAGTGACCCATATCAGAGACTTGGGGATCATAATGGACTCGAATCTTGCATTTAACTATCACGTAGACCATATTGTTGGTGCCGCTTTTCGCAGGTTGGGTTTCGTTCTTAGGATTAGCAAACCTTTTAAAAATACAGACACGCTAAAGATACTTTATTTTTCTTTTGTTCGCTCTATCCTTGATTTCTGTAGTACTGTTTGGAACCCCTGTTATAATATTCACGTTAACAGAATCGAAAGAGTTCAAAAGAAATTCTTGAAATCCCTTAATCATAGAAATAACAGCAGTAATATGACATACAATGAAGCACTGAATAAATGTAACTTGCTTACTCTTCGCAATCGCCGCGTTATGTTTGATACAGTTTTTCTTTATAAGATTTTACACTCATTTATCGACTCGTCAGAGCTTCTTGGCCATGTTCAATTTTCCGGTCGAACTCGTCTCCCTATACGCTCCTCACGTACACTACCTCTGTTTGTTCCTCCGCGTCGCAGGAAAAATTATACCCAAAACGCATTCCACCACTATGTATAATAAGAAACTGTCAAACATAGATTTATTTAACACATCTCTGAAGAATATTAAAAAAGAACTTCAAAGAAATTTAACCTAAAATAAAAAATAAAAAAAATATTTTCGTCATCTCTGATTTGATTTTTGTTGTAATCACTTGCATTTTGTTTTTTATTACTGCATGAATATTTGTCTGATCACGTTTAAACATGAAAACATTTTGTTTGTACTAAACTTGGGCACTGTAGGTCTTTTTAGTCATTACTGTTTGTGAAATTATTGTTTTTTTACATGACTGTTTGATGCCAAAATAAATGAAAAAAAAAAAAAAAATAAGTCATTCTAATTGAAGTTCTTCTAATTTGGTAGCTGTCTATTGTGCTGTATGTGGTCTAGCGTAACAACGCTTCACAACAGTGAAGTAGCAGTGGCGTAGAGCGATTGACCAGCCTCTGTTTAACAGCTAGTTTTTCCAGCATGGTTTGCAATTGCTGACAATAGTCGTCTGCCGTAATCATCTGGCCAGATTTAAGAAAACTGTAATCAATGACACCGGCACAAGTCCACCAAACGCTTACAAGTAACTTTTTTGGGGTCAATTTTCGCTTGGGGCTGGATTTGGCTGGCATGCCAGGGTCTAACCATTGCGATGAGCGGTTCCGATTATCGTAGAGAATCCACTTTTCATCACAAGCTATGATTCGATTTAAAAACCCTTCATTATATTGTCGGTTAAGAAATATAACGCAGCAGTCGAAGCGCGTTTGCCGGTTTGCTTCACTCAATTCGTGAGGTACCCACCTTTCAAACTTTTTAATCTTTCCAATTTGCTCCAAGTGGATTAAAACAGTTTTATCACTAACACTGTAGCCTGCAGCTAACTTGGACGTGGTTTGCGATGAATCCGCTTCCACAATAGCCTTTAATTCTTCATTAATAACTTGGGTCTCCGGCCGTCCACGGGGCGTGTTCTACAGGGCGAAATTTCCAGAACGAAAACGTTGGAACCAAAAACGCACTGTGTTTTCTTTTGCGACACAACCGCCATACACATCATTAACAAATAAATAAGGAATAAAACAATAAATAAAATAGGGACTTAACAATGTTAAAACGAATTTTCCTTTCTTTTCTATAGTTTGTAAAATACTGAGAGGAACAAATGACCGACACAGCCGAAAGTTTCAAGTTAGGTTACATGCAAACGTTCATTTTATTTGACAAATATTTAAAAATAGAGGAGGTGTAAAAATGGAGTAAAAATTTTAAATTTCTAAGTGTTGACAGCCTTTAACACGCATGCGCAATATCGATTGTGTGCAGATTACAACGAACCGCCAAATACATTAATTTAATTTAATTATTTACCGATATCTTAATGTTAGTCGATGCTGAAAATGTCCACTTCCTCTCTGAAGAATTTAAATTTTATAGCATTCTAAACCTTGTAACACGTTAATTATTTAATGTTGTATGTTAAATAGAATACGTGCTATATTACTAAATTAAAAGAAAATCAATAAACTCCCCTTCGTACTTTCCAGGCTTAGGACTGTCTATAATTCAATTATAGGCGCTTTCAAAATTTCCTTGATATTATTTACAAGAATCTAATATGTACATTTACTGTCATATATTTTATTCACATTTTTTACTCATAATATAATTATTTTAAAGTAAGGTTTTTTTATGAAATATCCTACATCTTTATATATACTCCAAAATCTAAAAATTAATATTCAAATTTTTTGTTACTTTAAGAATGAATGTATTTTGATTTTAATAAGAAATAACTATGCAGAAATTTATATTTACACTGGAAGAAACATGTAGATAAGCCATTAATAAAAGAAGAAGTAGAAAACTCGAATAACATTTTGTGACTCAAGTCAGGTACGTCTCTAGGGGGGGGGGTGCCACTTGCCCGGACGCCTATGTTAGAGGAGGAGGTAAAATCATCTTTACATAATACCTATTTATAGTTGCAGAATAAGCATATCAAATCTCTTAATAACATGTTACGACAGGACGAAGGGGTGGGGAGATAAATGAAAGGCGTCATACGAAGATTCAACGATGATTAAAAAAACCGTAGATCAGGGCCTGATGTCAGGATCCTCACCTGAGTTATAATATCGAGACCCGAAAAAGAGAAAATTTAAACATAATATTATTGTTATACAGATATTGTTATTTATGTTATAGAACGATACTCATTTAGCGATTAATTTTGCCAATTTTTACACAATAAACGAAAACTTTCGCTACATAATACGTTAATCGACTCGCTTTTGGTTTTGAACTATTCTGTGGTTGTGAACATTGAAGTCGACTAGCAATGGGTTGTTATCATTTTTTAAATCACTTAACGCAACCGCTATCAGATCGCCAATCACCGATATCAAAACTGTCTAATTTGATAACTAGTTATTTCTATAACACTATAAAGTCAAAGCGAATTTTACTCTTACGAAAATGCGATAAAGCTCAATTTTGGGTTGATTAGTTGATTACTCCCACAGCCGCACTACGCGGAACGAACAAACATATACCTATTTCATTCACACGTATACTGACATCCTGTTTTTGTTTCATTCACACATGACAGTGGAACACTGTTAGTGATCCATATTATTTTAACGCTCTCAAGTAAATAAATTAGTCACCCTTGTAACTAATTTATTTACTTGTTTCTATGTAAAATTTTGAGTGCAATAAAGAGTATTATATATACATTACCCGTTACATTCTATTCGGTTATTAAAATTGCATTACATGACCGTCAATGTAAAGCGTTGATTTCTTAAAAGATGTCAATATATCGCTGCGAACTGTGATCGCCGCTTCGATGATCGCGGATATTGTGAAGCGAAAAGCCCGAATATCAACCTTAAGTTGAACATTTTAAGAGTGAATTTAGCTTTACTTTAAAGCTTTGTGGAAAATATATAGTTATTGTATCACTGAGTCACGAGTGATCGCGGTTCAGGCAAATCACTAGTTGAATAACTGTTTATTGCGAATAACATCCATCGCTAAATTCGACTACATCACTAGTATATGTCAAATCATCCAATCTTCCGTGGTAGTGTTTATTAATTTTTCCGTGTTATTTTTATTTTAAAGTTTCTTGTCTCTTTTTTTAATATTGTGTTCATGTCGTAAATATTCTCGTAATATTTTGGAAACGGTTCTTAATCTAATGGCATCATCTAGCAAATTACCCGGCACAGGGCTGGAAGATGTTGGCGTACCAGGTCAAACTTATTTACGCGACGCCCTAACGAGCTGCACAGATCCCTTGAAAGCTATTGAAGAATTCCAACTTGAGAATGGTATCTTATTACCATCACTTAGACCCATGTTGCCCTTGTTAGATCTTCATGGAGTACGTAGATTAGATTTTCACACATCTGTTCTAGAAGAATTAAGGGATAAATTGATTGCACACATTAATGAACTTGGCTCTAAAGACAGTAAAGAGAATGACAAAAAATTGAAAGAACTCTTATCCAAGAGTTTCGCAGTAGTCAGGGTGAAGGCACTAAGGCCAGTCATAATGAGTATTTTAAAGAATACACCTCACATTGATGATAAATACTTGAAAGTATTAGTTAGAGATAGAGAACTATATAATGATACTGACACTGAAGTGAAGCGACAGATTTGGCAAGACAACCAGTCTTTATTTGGAGATGAGGTTTCCCCATTGCTCAGTCAGTATATTAGAGAAAAAGAAAATATACTCTTTGATCATGAAAATTTAACTAATCTATTCTTTTCACCATCACCTAAAGTGAGAAGGCAGGGTACAGTGGTCCAGAAACTTGCACATATGATTGGAAATAGTGTTAAATTATATGACATGGTATTACAATTCTTGAGAACATTATTTTTAAGAACAAGAAATGTACATTACTGTACACTTAGAGCAGAATTATTGATGGCCTTACATGATTTAGAAATTCAAGACATCATATCTGTGGATCCATGTCATAAATTCACGTGGTGCTTAGATGCATGTATAAGAGAGCGAAATGTTGATATCAAGCGATCAAGAGAACTACAAGGTTTCCTAGACAGTATTAAAAGAGGACAAGAACAAGTTCTAGGAGATTTGTCTATGACTCTATGTGACCCTTACGCTATTAACTTTTTAGCAACATCAGCAATTAAAATACTACAACATCTAATAAATACTGAAGGACTTCCAAGGGACAACACAATTTTAATACTTTTACTAAGGATGTTAGCTTTGGGCTTGAGTGCATGGGTAATGATAGATTCTCAAGAGTTTAAAGAACCCAAACTGGACAGTCAAGTTGTGACTAAATATTTACCAGCACTAATGTCTTTGATGGTGGATGATCAAGTACGTGCTTTACATAATAAACTGCCCCCAGATGAAAGAGAGTCTGCTATCACTACTATAGAGCATTCAGGGCCTCCGCCTGATGCATGTGAAGCTTACATGAGAGAAAGTTCAGTTTGTGGTGTTCTTGCTATGTATTATACGCTCCATGCAGCAAAACTTCGAGATAGAGGTGCTTTGCTTCGTATCTTAAGCATCTTAGGGAGTTGTAAAGATGGTAGAGCTTATGAGGATCCATTCCTACACGCCTTAGTTGCCCTACTTATTCAGTTACCTGATGAATTTCAAGGTGAAGATTTTAGTACTGTATTATTTGATGAGTTCTTTTTTGCTGGTCTATCTAAAGATAATGTTACGAGACATTTATTAAAGTTATTATGGTATATTCATCCTAAACTACCAGAGACTAGAATACAGACTCTTATGAAAGCTTTACAGCCAGGTACACAACACAATGAATCTGTACACAAGTTACATGAAGCTTTACAACAGAAGTTGAATGCACAATCTGAACCAGTGGTGAGCACAAGTGAAATGGAGTATTTAGATTCACCATTAATGAGTGTGCCTACTCCAGCTCCATATCATATGTGACTTTATATTATATTGTTGACTTAAGATGTTTAAGTAATAAATGACTATATATTTACACAAATTTCTTTATTATTTGATAAACCATCACAATATCATAATACAATTTTGAATTAAAACAAAGATTAGAATCACTGTAAATGTTTATTAGTATCAACTTAAAAATAATTTAAAATTAAATACATAATTGTTATTACGATTTTATGCTATTGTACCAGTGGACGGATTAGATTCTGAGCATGTTTATGGCAGTTAAAGTTTTAATTGCACAAATTTTAAATTATTTTAACTTTTTTAGTAAGGCGTTACATTAGACATTATTGTTAACTGCACTTTTACGAGCGGTGGTCGCGGCGTTCTGGTTTCATGTCTAATGAGTGCAGAGAGCGGAGCGAGCGTGAACGTTCGAAGAGAGAAGGATCCGTGTATATCGGTTCGCTGCCGTCATCGAAAGCGTTTGCTAGTCTTCCAGCTGAACCCGATTCCTCACCGACTTCAGCGAATGTCCGCCCCAAACCACTGTAAATGTATTGAATGTTTGGTTAATATTGATAACACCTCATTGTTGCAATACAAAATTATAATTTTAAAATGAATATTAAACCTTCAAAATTATAACATTATATTGGCAGTGATTAAGTACAGAATGTGAACTTCGGTCTAATGTGTTTGTTGTCACATTTTAGAATACCTAGCGCCATCTGTTGATGGCTTAAGAAACAAATCTACTCGTAGTTATAAATAAAAATCGTAAGTAATGTAAATCAATGGACAATTATATTTTCGAAACCTGTGTCCATAAATAAATAGATTTGGATTATTGTAATTTTCTAAATAACTTTAAAAGTTAAACTACTTTTAAATATAAAAAGTAACCTTTTTTTTATAATCCAGTCAATAAGCTTAGTCTTTCAATTTTTAATTTACTTTTCCTTTTATATTAACTTGTCTAAATGGATGACACCTTATTATTTTATGATAGTTTAAAAATAGGTACTCAGGTCTACACTTATAATAAGCGACTTACAAAAAGTCAACACATTTTTAGATAATACTACCTGAGTGAGAAGGGTTTGTGCAAATGAGAAGCGGAGAACAAAGAAGGCCTATTAGGTCTGGGTCCAGGTGTTACAGGTCGTAACGCTGGTGCTGGACTCGATGCTTGAATATTTTTACGAAGAACTCTCCAATATCGCCTGCACAATATGTTTATCATTAGAAAACTAGATTTTGGCTGAAAAAAATACCTACGCGATAAAGTACCTAGGCGTAATGATTTTTTTAAGTATCCCCGGTACCTTCCTAATGAACACCATGCCTAATTGCAATTTCAAAAAGTGTGCGTACTAAAATGTAATTAAATAAATTCTAAACATTTACAATACTTAAAATCAAAGTTTTTGTAGCACTAATGAGATGGAGACAAGGAAATACACATATTTTTTACGAGTTACAAGCTTTTCGAGTCAATGACTGTTAGAAAAATGTTGATTATAAATATTTTAAATGTTTAGAATATATTTATTTACGTTTTAGTGAGCACAAAGAAAAGCTTGTTTTTAAAAAACTTTTTATTATGTTTTTATTTTTTAGTTTCATCTCATTTGAATCATTTCTGACATAGCATCTGTATTGCAAGGTGTTTCTCTATCTGTCTCTATATGTTGTTGTTCTCATAAAGACGGATTTAATAAACCCAAACACAATGCAGTTGCGTCATTTCATCACTAAGTTCCTATTATCACCTTCCAGTTGGAAGTTCCGACATCTGAAATTGACTTACATGTCTATGCAAAATTCCAAATCTATCGAACATTGTGCACTGGGTCAAATTTGAGTTCCTAAATTTGCGCACTAACAAGGCAAGATGTTTAAAGTAAATAATAGGAATACCTATGAAATTGCAGACCTAATATTAGACAACATAATATACATTGCGAAAAATAACAACAGCTTGAAACCGTTTTGCAAACCACTCAGCTACGGAAGTCGTATTGATATTATTATTGATAAGATAATATCATACGTATATGTGATCAAAGTTACAAGTATTAAAGATAAACATTCAATTTAAAGATAAACTAAATAAAGAGCTCGATGACGTAGTGGTTAGCACATTCAGTCTGCGATAAGGTTGTTAAGCAATTTGCGAAGGGGGCTGTCATTGGATGGGTGGCCAAAAAGCCCGCCAATTACAGCATTAACTATGATATAGTTTTTAAAAACGCTTAAATACGCATTATCTTTTGTTTGTGAAGCAAATAATGTTTGAGGCGCGGGTCGTCTCCTTTCCTTTTACGGAGAAATAGGCCTTCAGTCGTCATATTTATTCGTACTTAATGTACTTATTTCTTGTTCATTCTGTGTTTGAATTAACTTGGGTAATCAGAAACTTTTTTACCTGTAGATATATAAACCTGCAGTTAGCATCGCTAGAAGTAATGAGAGCAAAACGCATAACGCAACCAAAAGCGCTCTGTAGTGATAAGGTGATACGCAGACACCAGCTACTGCGACAACTGGTGCTGAATCGGATGGACCGTTCTCTTCGATCAATTCATTGCGGTTGTCGAATACCTGAAATTTTTAATAGCAGAATGATCACCAAAACTAATACCAAACCTGTACAAAAAACGAATTAAATATCTCAGACACATCTAGTTTTTCTGTAAGATAAAAAAAGGTATGCAAAACCTATGCATTATATAAAGAAGTTACTCGTATATTTATCATTTTAATTGAAACAGGATAATAAATTTCAGCTTTTTTATTTTGTTTGTTTAGAACAGGAGTTCAACCTCATAAATTATCAAAGGTACCTTGAGATGTCGTTGAGTTATGATAATATAGGAAAAAAATGTTATATTGCACATATTATATACAAAAAAATTAAAATTGTATTTTACGTAGGTACTTATACAAAACAATCGCATGTAAATGTGGCTGGCAGCTCAAACATCCTTTTTTATTACAAAAATATTTGTTTCCAATGCTGTACCTATTACTTATAAGATTATTTTTCTAACACAATTATCAATAGTAATTATATGGTTAGGTAGTGTACAAATTCCATACCTCAATCATCTTTCTGACGTGACTAGGGGTTTCCACTTCGTCTTTGAGGTATTTATCCACACTAGTTTCCTCGTATGATACTTTGTATACAGCACCGGCGTCTGTTTCTTCAGATTTATTAGATGTTGTTGTAGACGACTCATTGGGTTTGATTTCCTCTGTATCATTACCGCCCGCACCTAATGTTGAGTTGACATCCCTTCGGCGTCGACCGAATGAAGGCTCAGAACGGCCCGTGTGACTGGGACAATACGCCTGTAACACAATTTATACGTATTTATTGAATGATACCGATATATACACACGGATGCACGTCTTTTTAACACAATTTGTTAAATTCCTGCAATGGATTTCGACCTCTACACTCCGGATTTTTACACAATATATTATGGTTTAAAATCGAGTGGGAAGTTTATACAGTATTGTATAGTCTGACGTGCAGTTGACTGTACAATCACTACTAATCATCTCTACTGGTACGGTAAAGGTCTAACTCTCCACCTTATACCAGCGGTTCTCAGTTTTTTTGAAACCTCAAACTTGAACCTTTTTGTATACCAAATATTTGCACGAAGTCCTAAAATTAAACAAAACCTAGTTTTATGTTCACTGTTAATATTGTATCATCATTTTCTTGTAAATGATTTGATGTGGTGCGCTTCATTTGTTATACCAAATTTTCATATAATTTCATATCAATAACATTATTAAAGGACAGAAAGTCTTTGTGTTTTTTTATAAATAATATTTATGAAATAGTAATACACATAATAACTATTGTTGCAGTTATAATTAGCTGGAGGAATAGACTATAAATCATAAAACATTTTAGTTTTCAGCAAAAAAATTGCATATTGCAACCCTGTTACCCATATTTAAGCAAGTCTTCATTTAATAAGATAACAGAATGGCACTTTATTATTGAACAGACTCACAGGAAGTAAAATTGATGTGGTATTACTAATAATAGAAAAATTCGCCGACAGTAAAATAGATAAGTGGATCACTAATTGATAACCTGCTTCGACCCTTTTGTAGCGCAATGTTTATTTTTATCATCATTGACGTACAACCAACTGTTTGTTTGAACTTATCTTCCAATGAGGTCTGTGTTCAGATAACTTTATCATTAAAAACAAAAATTACAAATATGCTTTATGGATATAATCCTTTAAACAGTATTCAGCAGTATCCGAACACTTTCGTTCTCATAAATATCATGAAATTAGAGAAAAAAATTTGAGATATTCGTTTTTGTAAGAAACTAAATTATCTCCCTTTTCTTTTGACTATTACACGCTATCATAATCCCTCAACTAAAATCCAGTAAAGGTAATTGGCGAAAATAAATCAAAACAAATACACTTTATCTGTGTAAGTATATAGTTTAATCGAAACCTCTTTTAATGTATCAAAAAACTGATTAATTTAATATTTACTTACCGGCTGACAACCATCTCTACAAGTTCGCACTGTAGCTTCAAACACTAAGAAGTTAGATTCTGGAATCTTAAATGCATTAAATCTCGCCTCCAATGAATCCCCACTACGTCCTTTGTCTAATTCTGGGAATACATCTGGATCAACAGGACAACTGTAATAGAGATAACAAAATAATAAATCAGCGTTTTTAAATTATTATTTCTTAAAACCATCAGATTTTCATCGATAATAAGGATGGCGACTAATTTTTGTTTGTTTATCCGTCAGATTGTCGAAAAATATAAAATAAAGTATTTTTAATTTTTTTTCGTAATAATTAAATTACGGAGATACATTGAGTTAAAGTGTCACATGACCTCAAGCTTTTGTGCATTTTTTACAATACTGTGACGTAACCCCACTCATCAACTTTAATGCCTGTTAGCTAAAATATTTCTTGTTAAATTTAAGTAATAAAAATACGTATCTAATATTTTTATATTATCTGACTGACGGACTAAATAGAATTTCTTTTTTTGCCCAAACGTCATCCCTAATGATCATTAATAACATTGATATATTTACCCGTTAATCAATAGAAAAAAGTTTAGTTCCATAAACTGACATTCCCTGCCTACTTGAGTATATTAAATTAGTTTCGACGCTTACCCAACTCGATCAATAAGCTGCACCGATCGTCCAGAATACGGATCTCTGGCAATTACATTTGTAGCGAAGATATCAGTAGCATAATTGTATCCGTCCTGTGCTTCTAATCTGAATGTTAGAGGGTCACCGACGGCTATGGTGGTAGTCGGTCTACCCTGGTACAAAATCATCAATCGCACCTTCGAGTTAAGAGAACTTTCTTCAGGTAAATACTCGATTGGAATCGGGCTCCCAGATCTGTCAATTGAGTCATGAACAAGGCTATGGTTAGATATAAATTTATTTCTTTAAATTTGCCAATCAAGCGAATTTGAATGAATTCAGAGTCAATAAATATAACAAATGTTTTTAACACGTTATAGCCATTAAGTTCAGAATAACAGAATTAAAATGAATATATGAATTCATTCAAACTCTACAAGTTAGTAGCTGTTAGTGAAATAACAGCACTCAGATAACCAATCTTAAACATACCACACATAATGTTAATAAAAACATAATCCACTATCTATTATCACAACGTCACTCGCACTCACAAAGTGACCCAAAGTACAAACATTATCGAAAACATAATTATCTAATAAGTAAAACTTGTATAAATTAAACAAAAACAAATAAAAGCTTTAACCCCCAAAATACACACATCACTACACTTCAGTTAACTGTTAATCATGACACGAAAAAGGCACATTTTATTGTATTTGGAAAATTAATACAAGTCTTCTCATCACAGACCTAACTTATTATAAGAAGATACAGTGCTATTAATTTTCCAAATAGACTTGAGGTCGTCACAGAGAGCAGTATCATTTAATTTATCTAAATACAATCAGCAAATTTAATTCCTAGGCCTATAGAACTGATAAATTTGACGTCAATAAGAGACATAAAACTATTTCTTCTTATTAAACTTATAAAACGATTAATAAGTTTAACAGGAAGATAATATATTGATTTACAATTTTTAACGTTACTTCGATTATATCAGGTTATAATACTGGTACCCGTGAAGACCTTTGTTCTAAACTTTTTATCTCACCCGGCTCCGATGTAATTCGAAGTGACTACTGCTTCGGCAGGCCCTCTGAACAAGCAAGTTAAATTGAAACGTTTGTCTCTTGATGTTTGCACATTATCGCTGAACTGAACTACAACGATATTAGTCATTGTATCACCGTACTGAAAATCAATAAATTATTGTCAAAACATCATAATTTAGTCCATAAAAAGGAATATAGAGGAAGAAATCCACAGGAACATACTCTTTGTGTTCCACACTCGGGGTAACCATGAGCTCCACTTATACGAAGTACGTTAACGGTGCCACCATTCCCGCGGAAGAAGCAACGATCATAGAAGCCATATGTGTACATACGGCCGTAAAATCCTTCCGGCAATCTCAAGGTAAACTCCATTCCGTCTTCGTTGCATACTTGCGACACTGTATGGGTTAAAGAGATATTGCATTTAGGTTAATGTTTAAAATATTCTACGTAATGCAAGCAAATCATTCCGTTTTACTACCGTCCAAACAGTCATCTGCTATGCGTCCTAATGCTCGTTCATAGAAATCATATTCATTCGCAGTATTATCAAAATGGGCAGGATTAGCTGCATCTAATTCTCGAGTATCACGATCGCTGAGCTCGCAATTATCCCGAGGTTCTCCAAACCCTACATCTCTGTGAAAAAAATATCTCAGTAAAGATACGACTATATTTAACCTTGACTAATTGATAAATCTTTTCTACTTGCCTATAATTGAACGCCCGGCAAATAAAATCACGTGCTTCTATGCACTCTCGTTGGCAGTGTGCCAAAGAATGAGCAGTTGTAAATCTTCGTACAAATCTCCGTTGCATACGCTGTCTGCCTACTTGTCTGAAACTATCTTCCTCACAACGAGATCCCTGCCACGGCCTATAACCTGTAGGAGGTCTACCCACAGGCCCCCCAACAGGTGGTCCAATCGGACCACCAATAGGGCCTACCGGACCGCCTGGTCCTACTGGTCCAGGGCCAGGTCCTGGATCATCATGTCCAAAACCTCCATAGACCGCTGTACCTAAAAAGCGACTTTGAAATAAAATTCAGCAGTATAATGACATTACAAATTAAAATGGTCGCCGAGATATTTTATGTAGATATATTACCCGCTTTGTATTAGTTTTTAGCTCACCTATCGGTCTATCTATTGGACGGTCCAAGCCAGGCGGGGGGTAACTACCTCGATATCCTCCAGGTCTATCAATTGGCCTTCTAATGCCAAAGCTTGGTCTAGGTTCAGGAGGAGGATACCTTAAAAATATGACAACATAAATAAATACAACAGCATCACTTAAAATATTACACCATTTGAGTAGAATAGTTACCTTTCTGGTAATGGTCGAAGTCCTCTATCGGGAACTGGAAAACGATCTGGTCCTGGATATTCTCCACCGTAATGACCACCACGCCCATAACCTGGTGTCAAAATATTTTAGAAAAAGGTCTACTTGTATAATATACTTATTTATGTATTTAAACAAAAGTAATAAAATAAAGGACAAAAATTGCAGTTGGTTATGATGTTAACTTTTGTTAATATGGACAAGAAGAAGATGAATCTGTGCTTACCAGGGAAAGATGATCCGGTCGGCGGATATTTATCATACAGGTCGGGATAGCGGTCGCCCCCAAGTGGTATTGGGTCTCTGTTTACACCAACTGGATAGCGACTATAGGGGTATCGACCCCAGCCCTCACTTGTGCCAGGATAGCGGTCCTGATCGTATCTGTCAGGATATCGGTTGGGATACCAAGGGCGCGATGGAAATCTACCACCTCCACGAATGGGAATTCTTTCTGGATATCTATCTACGGGATACCTATCAGGATATACATCAATAGGATATCTACTGACAGGATATCTGTTGGCACCAGGATAACGACCAATGTCGTTGGAAGGATAGTCGTATTGTGGATATCGTCCACTGTCGAGCGGGTATCGATCTCCACTACCGGGATATCTATTTCCAGCTGGATACCTATCTACACCCGGTGGATACCTATCAGCTGGGTAGCGATCAAGGCCAACGCCTGGAGGGTATCTATCATCCGGGTATCGGTCACTAGGATAACGATCCACCGGGTATCTATCTGGGTATACATCTGGCCCAGCCGGGTACCGATCGTCGGGTGGTGGATACCGGTCTGGCCGACCACCGTACCGATCGTCGTCGTATCGGTCGTCGTCAGGGTAGCGGTCTGCGCCTGGTGGATATCTGTCCCTGTCTCTATCCCGGTCTCCTCCACTACCACCTATAAGATGAATCATATACAAGATTATTATGCTTCCGATTCATAAATTCTGGCAGTCTACAAGCTTTAGGATTATCTACAGCTACTTTTAATGTATCTACAGTACTAATATCTTCTTAGCTGCATGCAAAAACAAAGTTCCTACAATTTACATGCGTGTTTTAATAATAATACATACTTAATAATCAACTTTACCAAGAGCTACATAGAATTCATGCTTACTCACCTTTACTGTTCCATATCTACTACACTACTTATACCTAAATAACAACAAAAAGCCTACGACTACGTAATTCCACAACAAACTAATCGGACACCAATATAACGAATAATCAATAATATACCCTGAACACCAACTCTACTAAAAGACAAAGATTTTTTCTCAATCCTGACCTATTCATGTCCCAGAAGCCCTGTAATTATTGATAGTTATTTATATTGTTTGTTTGGAAAATTAAACATTTGAAAATTGTAAATTGAATTTAATTTTATGCATATGTGTTTATTTCCGAAAAGGGCATCCCTTTTCATTATTTACTCGAAGGGACAACTTTTTTATTTGAATTTTAAGTTTTCATTATTTATACTTAATGTTGTGAAATAACTTTTTAATGAGAAAGTACATTTATATATTCAACTATCTCCTTAAATTAACTGAAAATGACTTAATACAAAAATAAAAACAGGAACTTCTGGTCAAAAACGCTGTAATCATTCATTTTGATGGGATCTAAACATATTGCCAGCATACACATTACCTTGGTTCTAAAACAGTCATAACATTTATCGTGTCAAACAGTTAAACATTGTAGCATTATTTAATAAAAAAATGCATTAATTCAAATGCGTATAAAGAAGACTTTCCGATATTTCTAATAAAACTCAAAATAAAAAAAAAATAAAAATTTAATAACGATTGTACGAGTAAGACTTCTTTTCGATATTTAGTTCACATATTCGGAATAACTTCGGAAAAATCTAAATTAGTCGAGCCCTACTTGCTTGGATAAGGAGCTCGTCGGTAGCACCCGTATGGCGCAGTCGCTAGCGCCTTCGGTCTGCGATACGGTTATTCAAGCAAGCAATAGCCAGCCATAGGATAAGTGATCATAAATTAATTATCTCGAACTCCTTCCTGCTTCAGAAAGCACGTTAAGCTGTTGGTCTCGGCTGCATCTGGAGTCGTTAACACCCACTAATTCGGATTGGGCCCGCATGGTGGGTCATGCATGGCCCAGTCTACCTATTCGATTCCATTCGATACAATCCATAGGGAGGGCTTGAGACTCAGCAATGAAGGCATTGGCTGGTGATGATTATTGCGTCGGTGACATATATATTATTACCTTATACGTATTGCGCATTAAAAGAGTTTTTCTTGTCACACTTCTTCACCACCGTATAATATATGTCCAAACGAATCTCCATAGCAACTCTATCCATGTTCACTATCTATATCAAGTTACCTCCCACGTCCTTTCTGATATCATTATTACAATAACAAGCTTAAGATAAAAAGTTATGACGTTTTCGGTAACTACGTAAGATGTCATATGTTTGAATCTATGAAATACCTTAAATAAACTTCTATAGTGGATAATCAAAACTTTAATGACAATTCGTTTTTTTTTTGCAATGCATTTTATCTGTTTTAGAATAAAGGTCATAGTCATAGCACACTTACAGGGCATGGCTGCGTCCTGGCGATTTATCATAATGTCAATATCATTCATAGCGGCGAATGGCCGTTGTCAACTTCCAAGTTTCTTTTTTATATATTGATGCTATGAAATGTATTAAATGATAAATTTTAAATGATAAGATAATTTCTGGAGCCGTTCCGTTTAGCTATACTACGATCTTAAAAATGCGAAATCTCCAAGCAAAATGAATGAATACAACAGTATTGCTATAGAAACCTATGCTTGTTCATCGAATACTAATTCTCTAGGTATAAAGAATATAATTATAATTAAATCATGGGTTTCTACATAAGTGTTATGGCCCATCAGGATCTTTCGAGAAGCTACAATCATGCATCGAACCTGAACTATTAGGCCGAGCCCAAGGTGTCTGCGAGCTGCTGGAAGCACCCCCTGTCTCCGTCTCACCACTCACTAACTGGTCTAGAGGACCAATTTACAAAATAAAGAAACGTTTCAGCCAACCTATCCTACATTTCTTTCTTACACATAATAAAACCACTTCTATATTCTTTTCAAAGCGCCAACGACATACGACATATACTTTATTTGTGTATCAGCAATTTTTTTATTTATCTATATCGCTCATCTAGAAGAGCAAAACGTACCTTCCACGTGTCAATCTTAAAAATAAATAACAAAATTGTACTTCCAATAAACCTTTGTCAATTGAAGTGAACAAAAAATAAATGCAAGTTATTTCTCATTATCATTAAGGATATTTTTAACTTTAGTTACTTCTCCTGAAATATTTATAAAAATTATATTACATCAAACGTTCTGTTGAATCTGTAATATATATTTTTGATTATAAACAAAACAACATTTACGAAAGTCATAAATATATGTGATTCAATCATCGTTTGATATAACAATTTTCCTCTGTACATAACAAAGCAATTATGAGATAATTATCGTGTTCTTATGACAAATGTGATAATTACTGACATGCCGACCGATTAGAAAACTATATTAATAACAAGTTTTGCTCTATGTATCACGTGTTCGAGTTGAAACAGAGGATTCTATTTACGGATCAACAGTTCATTGCTATCAATTGATCACTTATAGCACAGTTGAGAGGTCACTATCTCATTATATCTAACCCGATCCAATTCATATCTCTATTGGATCCTTCCTGTTTTATATTAGCTTGTTGTTTGATTATTAAGATTACTACGCCATAATGCTTCATGCAACTTTCTGTGCTTTTCCTTATAATCAATATCGAAAGTTACAAACTAAATGTCTCCTTATATAAAAAATAGACTGACTATGTAAAAAACATAGGTTTAAAATAATGTCATCTGCTATGTGGTTTTTGTTTAAACAGAGTAGTCGTTCAATTAGTAGATATAGTAGTAAACTTACGCATTAAATTCTCATAGTAGTCGAAGTCTGGATCATAGAGCAGCCTCATGCCATCTTTTTGGTTGTATCTACTCAGACGACATGTTCTTGCGCGATCACTGTACACAGCAGATCTACAAATACAAACAATTAATTTACAATATTATTAGCTTCTTATGTAAGTTTTAAGTTTAAGCAGTTTAAGCGGACTTTTAATATAGACATCCATTCCACAACCGATGCGAACTTAGTGAAATTTTATAAGACAGACACACAAAAACATTTAATTAGATTCAACAGTAATATGATTTGATGTAGCTAGGCTCAGAACTGTGGTAAAGAAAAGAAAATACTTTTTCTAGGTAAACACTGAATGTTTACCTAGAAAAAGTATTTTCTTTTCTTAATAAACATACCATTGCAAATTAATTTCATAAATATGAAATAAAAAAAATAACTTCTCAATCTAATAAATGGTATTGAATTTGAAAACACACAAACAAAAATAA